TGTGCAGCTGTGATGGGTTGTGTACATCACAGCTGCACACAGCTGTGTGTCAAAATAGTATATATATTTATACTTCTCATCCAAACACAATTAAATTCACTCTATCCATGAGACACAATTTATCAGGATGGTATTTTTTAAGTAATAACAACTCAGAATAAAATAGGAGTAAAGATTTTCTACTTCTTACCTTTTTAATAAATGTAGTGAGTAAAAAGTACAAATAATTGTGTAAAAATGTAATGAGTAAAATTTAAAAGCACACTGAAAAATAATTACTCAAGTAAAGTACAGATGACCAAAATTTCTACTTAAGTACAGTAACAAAGTATTTGTACTTAGTTACTTTACAACTCTGCTTGAATACATCCTTCTGTCTGTTTTCAGATTTGCACACTTTTGGTGATGAAAGACACGTTTCCTGTGCGATCACATCCACCAGATGGCAGAAAGGTTTAAGTTTTTCTCCTTTGTGACCTTGYCCTGCCTCTAAAGGGTCAGTCAGCTGCTCTCTTTTACCCCACCAAACTAAAACAAGCACACATGTACATGCTAAAGGAGGCACGTTGTTTTTCTCTGTGCCACACACCAGCGGGAGGAAACACTGCGGAGGCTTTGCTGCTGCTGAGACTGAAGACCACCTACTTCCTGTGAAGAAGGTAGGCGTTCAGAAAAACAAGGAGCAGGATTTTGTTCTTAATTCTTAGCTACACTGATTGTGATGTGGTTCATATGTGAGGCAGGGTTTTTTTAGATATCCTGTTTTAAATCTCTCTTATTCGCTTCTTTATATATTTGTGCGAGTAAGGTTGCTGCCACAAGTCTCATTTTTCCTCTTGGGGGATGTTGAATCAAAATGTTTGTTGTATTAAAACTGCACTGATGGCTGCCTCCTGTAAACCTCTGCAGCAGGAAGTTAGCATTTAAAAGCTGGGAATAAAAAACTAATTTTATTCTTGAAGTGCTTTGACAAAACATGAAAGTCCTAAATGTTGACTTTTTTTTAAAGTTCCATCTCTAAGAAAAGACGCATTGTGTGACCAAAACAAGCCACCGCTGTTTTTACAACTGATGATGTCGGTCTTTGTTTATGTTTGTGTCGYCTCAGCCGTGCAGTGGAGAAGGCTGGCCGTCTTTAAGGTCAAAGTGTGAAAGGAGCAATTTAACACCACAAACCCTGACCCACACACACAAATAACCGCACACGTCCAACATGCATGTAAAACAATACTTGGATTCTGATAATCTGCTGTTGCTGCCCTACAGTTGTCACGTTGTGTAAAAATATAAACTGTTTTGTCAAGAAACATTGCTTTATGTGGACACCTCAGCTGCAGATGATAGTCATGAAAACCATCCAGTGGTTCACCAGATATTTTGCTAACAAACAGTTAAATGTAATAGGGATGTTGGCTGCCATTTTCTTCCCAAACTGCTGTGACCGGATTGTGTCACGCTGCTCCTGTTGTTTCCTCCTGCTTCGTTATTTCTACGAATTTCAGCAAAGCGTGCTGACGTCAGGTAGTTAGCTACAGCCTGGTCTTCCAGTTTTTAATTTCTGTCGATGTGTTTTGAAGAGATGCTTATTTGAAAATAGTAAAGTCAATCACCCGAGTTTTTCTAGTGAGCTCTTTAAGAGGTAAGCATACTTGAAGAACATTATTTGATCTGCCTTTGTTCCAAATTCCATACTGATTTGAAATGTTGAAGTATTTTAGCAAAGTGTGTCAACGTTTGTCTTCGTCACTTGATGCCTTTCACACTCTGTAATTGTTGGAGGAGCTTTGTTTACAAAACAGAYGTTCACATTGGGCCTCATGCAAGAACTTTTTCGTATTTTTATCCTAAATTTCTCTTACTTTGGTTCATACGAAGGGCTCGTACGAACATGCCACWTCAGATTCAACAAACTCTTCTATCTTCAGGAAAAGTGTGTAAATGAGCTGCGTAAACTGATGAATGCATATCCAGATGCTCGTGCACGAGGAGAGGAGATTAGCATAATTACCACAAAAACACCATTTAAGGATATGCTTCCTGCCCTAAATACCAGGAAGTGTCCATTCATGAAAATGACAGCGAAAAGTAAAAAGAAGAACTTTACGAGTTAGAAGATTGAAATCCTGCTCTCCGAGATCGAGAAAAAAAATCTGTCATTTTTAGCAGCGTCAGCTGTGGAATTAAAGGAGCTGCTAAAGCCGAGGAATGAAATGATGACTGTTAATGTCGTGTCTACTGTGGGTCGTACAGTCACAGAAATAAAAAATCTAAATCATATTCATCTCTCTCTAGTCCTGCTCTGGTTTTCCTTTGGTCCAGTATTTTTAATTTAAGTGTAAACAACTGTGTAAAATAATTTTCATTTATTCAGAAGAAGAGCCACAGCCCGGAYCGATGTGCCCCCTGCCGTCTCCCACGCACGCAAGTGGTGACAGATGCGGTTTTGAAGAAAGCATTTTAAAATGTCTCCAAAATATGGCTGGCACTTTGAAGAAAATAGCGTAACTGATGTGCTGAAATAAAATTTGATTTAAAAAATAACATCATCTATAAAGCTCATTATACATCGAGACAAATTAAACTTCAATTAAAGCATAATTAAAGTTGAAGTTTGAGACCTTCAAGCTAATATTGTAGTGTTACACAACAGCATTAATAGCCAATTTAATTTAACCAATGTATGTCGTTAGTTACATTACTACATTTACAATTATAATTGCAATTCAAACAGAATAACCTACTGCCAACATAATTATGGAGTGTGATTTATTTTCAACTTGAAATATCTTCAAACTAATGAAATATAAAGTTATTGTTGAAGAAAATCCGTCTGGATAACAGCAGACCGACTGCTCGTAAAATATACGACAGGTCTGGACCACTCATGAATTTTCTGGAGAAAAAAATTTTACAATACGAGAAAATTTGTGAATGCCACAAGTTCTCCTAAATCACTCGTACACACAATGAGAACAAATCTGTTCGTACGAACGGTTCTTGCATGAGGCCCATTTTTCTTAAACTGTTTTCATTTCCTTGCTTTCTAAGACACCTTAACTTTATTTGATGTTGCGGTTTGCTGAGATGAACCTTGTAATATTATTTTATACCTTCTCTGCTACTTTTGCATTGGATGTTATAAAGTTTTGTTAGTTTTTAGGATAAAAAGATGCTTCCTACAAAAACCAGAATGTGATTTTTTYCCCCTTAAAATTTCATGGCGATGTCTTGAACACTAAGGAAGTTAATGAAGAATGTGAAATGGTCACAGATTGCTTCTGCTGTGAACTGCAGCAAGAAAACATGAGCTGATTTCACCTAAACAAGCATCCATAACTTGCATACCTGAGATAATCACGATTTCTGTGTTATTTTGTCAAGTTTGTGGTGTTCTTTTTGTATCCGCTGTCAGATTTGAWATTGGTGTGGGATGAAACATTTTATCCACATCCCTAGAGAATGTGTTGGGAATAACTGTCAGCTACGACCACACTGATCTGTATCAAATTAGATGACCACATTTCTGTTTTCTGGGGTCAGCTGGACGTGGCAGCCATCTTGAACATCCAGTGAATAAATTTTGAAATCGTCAATAAAATCTATTCAAAGAATATTTTGCTCACAGAGAAAAACTCGTAGGTAAAATAAAATAAATAAATAAATAAATAAATAAATAAATAAATAGTAATCTAATCAGGATTTATTTATTTATTTTTAGAAATGTAGAGTTTTTACACATTTCACCTCTAGATGGCAGTAATGACTCGTCTGCCGCAAACTGTAGAAGAAGTTCGGTGATGTTTTGATTCCTCAGAAGTGAAGAAAATCTGTTTATAATTTGTATTTATCACCACCAAGTGAAATGTAAACTAGCAAGGCGATGACAAACATAGTTTCGGAGGGGGAGGGGACGTACCTTGTTTTCTCCACACCCTCAGAAGGACTCCTACTTTCTCCAGCGCATCGATGAGTCGCTCATCCGGAGCCTTCCGGTTTGAAAACCTTTTCTTCTTTTTGCTGTCCCGCGGTAACACGAGTTCTGTCTTTTCAATTATCCGACCCGTGGTTGTCTTCATGAACTCTATGTACTCGTCCTCGTGTTTGGTTCGTAAATGCCCGATTAAATTGGTGGTGTTATACGAAGTACGAGAAACATCCGCGTGACAAATATTGCAAGTTGCTACCAGTTTGCTGTGGTTTAGTGTTTTAAAATACTTCCAAACCGCGGACTTTTTGTTTTGGTCCATCTCAGCGGCTGCCGTATAACAATCAAAATTGCCGCGCCGCTGACGTAAAATCGAAGACGCGAAAGCGGAGCGGCTGCGATACAGATCGATGTAAAAAAAAAAAAAAGAGGTCAGATCGATACTCTAGCGTTTGCGTTTGTTGATCTCTTTAGTAAACAGACACGTAAAATAAACAAAAAGCATGTTGTCACCACAGTTTATCAAAGCATCATAACATACTGGCTATTCTGCCTTTTTGATTTTAAAGGGTTTAGATTGTTAGAATAAAATCATCTCATTAAAATCAAATGGCTGTCAAATTTTGTGAACATTGCTCCTTTTCCATTCATCATTTGATATTAATCATCTGGAGGCTGCTGGGGTAGCAGGTAAATACTAGGGATGTAATAATACATTGATGTATCAATTAAATGATTAATRATTCAATTACATGGAAGGAAAACCAAAACATCGGTCCATACCGTCGTCATACGCCCGATGTAGATCTAGTCCATGTCRATCACAGACTTGTGAATTAAATCAAAATTATATCACAASAGACTTGGTGATATTGAAACATCGTATCATCAACCAAACAAACTGACAAAATATTATATTGGGATAAAGCTGGTTAAAAAAACGACACTTTGTCTGGTAGGGGTCAAGTAGCATGGCGGCCCACCAGGCCTATAAACACTGGGGGAAATGCTATGTATGTAGCTTTGTAATGTAGGAATATCTTGTGAGTTAGGGTTTTTTATGGTGCCCAAATTTATGCACCTGCCTAGTTTTGTTTAACCAATTATTGCACACTTTCTGTAAATCATATTAACTTCATTTCACTTCTCAAATATCACTGTGTTTGTCCCCTGTAGGCCCTGTATGATGTATTTTACTGATATTTTTATCCAAACAATCAATGATTTATAAAGGTAAATCAGGGAAATTAACAAGGCTGCCCAAACTTTCGCACCACATTGTGTAGATGCTAAGTAAGGACAACTGAAGCAGATAAGTTCAATAAATATTACCTCCTGTTAAACAGAGGTCTTTCTTCCCACCGTCACCGAGTGCTTGAAGAGCAGAAATTGATGTATTTGCTCATTGTGTCATGGTGATTCATTACATTGTAATGAAATGTAAAAAAGAAAAGAAAAAAACAAGGTCAGACTAAGTGACACCGTTTCCTGCCTGCTGCTTCAGGATTTTGTTTCCAGGTTGTGAATCACGCCTGCGTTACATTTGCATAAGTTGTGCTTYGTCAGCCTGATTCTGCATCAGCTGTTGGTGGTTCAGCTCTGATGATGTGTGCTCCCGGGTCAGCAGAACCTTTGGTTCTTCATGAAGGAGCTGCCTGGTTGTTTGCCGACACGCACACAAAAAAAAAAAGTTTAAAAAACCTCCACACAGACAAACAATCTTATCCCAGATTAGAATATGAGGATTTTTACAGAAACAGGAAATGTTTAGTGCCTACTGCTGAAAGCCAAAGATGTTTTTTTAGTGTCTGTTAGCAAAATATCTCATACAACTGGGCAGTTTCCTCGTTTTGATTATTTTTTTGTTGTTTGTTTGTTTAAGGTGTTTTTCAGGATTGAAACATTAATTCTCATCCTTWTTGTTTATGAACGCGCTTCATCGTGATCAAAACCCAAACCGAACCCAGCAGTTGGTTTACCTGCTCTCTGAGCCATAACCAAAAGTTGTCAAGGGTGTTGACAGTTATTTGTGAGGTGTGTTTACCTGATTCACCTCCTTAAGACACAGTTGACCTTTGTTCTCCTTAATGCTGAAGGAAGTTTAAAAATACCGTTGAATTGATGTTTTTTTTAAGGGAACTAAAGTGGCCAAAAAAAAAGCCACACAGACCTGATCGCAGTCAGAGATGCGTGTTGTGTTTTTGTTGTTGATTGTTTACTAAAACAACACAGACGTGGTGAGAAGATTTATGATCAAGGATTAGAAAGAGACCAAACTTTCAGGTCCAAAGCATTCATTTACAATAGAAAAGAGTGTTTTCAGTCAGAGCAACAAAAACAGACAACCTGTTTTACACAAACAGATGCCTTTTTTTAAACTGCTGTCGCCTCACAGAAAGATTACCGGTTTTTTTCTGTGTGGACTACTTGACGCGCTCTGCCTGTGCAGGTTCTCTCCAAGTATGACAACATCCCCTCCCCGTCCAGAATGTGCGTGGGTTTTCTCCAGGTGTGTTGGGTTCTCTGGCAGCTCTAAACTGTCCCCAGGTGTGAATTGTTGTTTGTTTCCTTCRCCTCCGTGTGAGCCCTTGTGATCGACCGGTGGCCTGACCCCACCTCTCGCCCGGCCACCTCACCTCCTGACACCCTCATGACCCTAAACAGGACGAACCGGGTCAATAAAATGAGTGGAAGTGTTGATAACAGTAAAGAGTCGACAAAGAAATTCTCCATTATTGCAAATCTGCAGATAAATCGGGGGCTGAACAAAAATGCAGGCAGACTATCTTTCTTTTTTTTCTTCGAAGTAACGTACTAGTAAGCTTTCTGAAACACACTACGGATGTTTTAAGGGTTAAATCCTGTGACCTGGTATAAACCTGTATGYTACACATTCGTTCCTTACATTGTTGACAGTGCACTGTGTTTAAATGTGACCGTGTGGGGAAAAATACAGCATTGATCGTGGAAAAAAACACTTACATAACATATAAACTTGTTTTCAGAGTCAAGTGTGCTCTGTTACAACATTCAGACTCGGGAAATCGTCGMAGACCGCTTGCACATTTTTGCACCTCGTGCTCTGTTGTGTAGTTGCAGAGCAGGAGCTGATTCATAACAGCATACACACTGAACCAGCTCAGCAGCACGTGACCTCCAACACTCGGTGAGGTTCTGTGACGTCCCGGTCCATCCCTGCCTCCGGCTGGGGCTTTATAAAGAGCAGCCGAGAGGCCCGGCAGCACACCTGCCTCTGCTGACGGCAAGACGCGCTAGCACCTCACTGACGTGGCTGTAGCTGAAGACTGGGATGGAGACTGTGGGTAAGCTTAAAGGAGACGCTGATAATCATGAAATATGTTAATCAGTAGTTTGGACATTTATTAACCAGAAAACCTTTTTTTTACTCTGATTTCGTCTTTTCTSTCAAAAAATGCAAATGTTGGTGAATCTTACAGCTCATTTTCTGACACCTCTTTGTTTTTTTGTTTGATTTTTTTCAAATTAAAAAGTTCTTCAGGTTTGTTAATATGAGTTAATAWAAAAGATATTCACTGTTGGAAACTGGAACAAAACTGGTTTGGATCCAGAACATTTCCAACAAASCGTCAACCAGATGCTTTTGTTTTCAAAGTTGTTAATGAGAACATGTAATTAAAAAATTATAAAGTAATTAATGTAATGGTTTGTGGTTTTTTAAAAAGTGAACACATCTGTTGTGCAATTTGACCAGTTTAAAGTTGACTCAGACTCTCTGAGAAACTGGAAAAATGTCTGTTTATCTGATTTAAAAAATAGTCAGGGTTTGGTTTATTTAAATTTGAAAGTTGCTACAATTTTTTTTATTTTACGTTATTTTTTTGAAAATATGTAAGAAGTACCAACATGATCCCAATAAATGAAACAAATGTAGATTTAATGTTAAGAAAAATGAAAAAAAATTATCAGTATATTTGATCCCAGCTGTCGGGGTTATTCTGAAATAATTCCTGTCAGTAAAAGCTGCACTTTAAATCCCATCTTCTAAAAGCCATTTGAGGCTAATTGAAGGGCAGTGTGGGAGGATAAGACTACTCCCTGGAATCTTTTGTTGTTTAGGCTCAGGAGTGAAGAGAATGTTTACTTTACCTGTCATCACTTATGTCTCCTGTTTCAGGCCCTTTTCCTGAGGCCAGATAAGGGTGTTTTCATTTTAAATAGTTTTGTCTTAAAATATGTAAAAATGTGAAACATTTAACCTCTATTTTAAAGTTTAGTTTAGATTCTAGATGTTGTTCAACCTGAGAAACGCGTTGTTTGCTCTTGAAGTAGAGGCTGATGACTTCTTTTTTAAACATTTAACTTCACTTTAATTTGGCTTCTGAGCAGAAATAGTTTTTGAAATATGTAAAGAAAAATACTTAAGTTAAACAAGTCTTTATGGTATTCTGGCGCTAGCAGAGATGTAATGTAACTAAATACTTTTTTAATGTACTTAAGTAGAGATTTTGGTTATATGTACTTTACTTGAGTAATTATTTTTAAGCCTATACATTTTAGTTCCACTCCTTACATTTTTAAAAAAAAAAAAGATAAGAAGTAAAAAGTT